GAGGAGATACTTTAATGACTTACAACACGCACTCATGACCTCACCATTGTGAGTGCTGGTATTTAACTAACTATGAAAAATCGCGTGGCGATCGAAAATCAATCGCTCTAAGCAAAACGGCCACCGTATCAGCGATAGTAGCTGAGCGATAATCGCTGTGCAACTATCGCTATAGTCGCTCCAAGCAAAATAGGCCTTTAAGCAGTAAATACTGCAACTATGGCTGCAGTCTTGTGTATTGATTTGATACTGATAGTCTTGTACATGGACACTGGTAGTCTTGTATATGAAGTTTATTTTAATTTTTTGGACTATTTTATTTTAAAATACATTATTATGACAAAACACTTGTTCTCATTTGTACTTTATAAAGAACGATTTGTGTTGGTAAAAAAAAAATCGGATCCATCAAAACCGGATCCAGCCTCAGATCCGAATTTTTTGTGGATGCGATTGGGCGTCAGTTCTAGCTCAGATCCGGTATTCCAATATCCGAATCCGCCCATCACTAATTAATAATGGTAGACTATAGACACTAGGTCTAGGTCTAGATATGAAAAAAATATCATGTATGGCTTTTAGTAAAGGGAAATCACCAATACTTCTAGAAAAAAAATGTATTGAGATTATGACAGACACTATATTTTATTGTGTCTTGCTTATAAAAAATATGATTCAATGATGATGTCACATGGTGAGTGGCGGAAAGAAAGACCCTCCTCAAATAATCTCCCACTGGATTATTTGTGAGCAATCGTTGGTGGACTAGCGTTTCCTGCGTAAACAAACATACCGCTCAGCTGTAGCGCCTCACACGCTACCTCACTTTTTGGCTTATTGGGGGGGGGGGGATGCGTGTGCACACACCTTCTTTTATACACCTTGGTATTGTGTTACTTCTGATCCCAGTGATAAAGATACCATCTAGTGATTATGTATATTGAGTAGCATGGAAGGAAAATAAATGGACAATCTAATTTTTTGTACTTTTTTTTATCTTGGTGCAAAGTCAATCTCACTCAAATGAATGAGATCTTTTAAACCTCACATATTTCTCAAAGATTTGAGACATATCCATCCCTTCAATATCCTATACATATTATAATATTAGCTGTTGTACCCGTGCTTCGCAACGGAGAGGACACTGAAGCGAAAAAATTTGATCTTGAATTCTGATGTTGAAAAAAATAGTTACATATTCCCCTTTGGTTTCAGGAACATAACTCAATTTTATTACAGCTGACTTCAATTAATACTTTTTACTATTTACATTCCTCCAAAATGTAAGCATTTAAACTTTGGAAGCTCATGTGGTGTAGCCCAAGGAAATATAATAACAGGAATTGGCCTATGTGTTAACCAGGTATATAAGCTACTGTACCTTCATACAAAATTTTATTTCAATCGGTTCATTGGTTCTTGCGTTATTAAGTAACAGACAGACACACACACAAACACACACCATCTCATTTTTATATATTAGTATAGATGTAGTTTTTATATAGTGATATTCCAGCTTTGGCTGAATTTGTGTGGGTAAAGTTTTTTTTTTATTTGTTTTTGTTTTGTACTTTTTACTTGAAAACTGGGTTAGACTCCAGACCCCAAGACCAAGACATTGTTAAAACTTATCTTTTAGTAATTGTGGTGGAAAATGTCCACAATTAGCCATCAAACAAAGCTAAATCTACTCTTGCAAATAATCTTTAAATATTTAAGATAACATTAAGATAACGTTAAATATTGTATTTTTTTTTTACAATATTTAAGATTAGTGACATAATAATTTTCTCATTTCAACATTTGCAACCATAATAAGCTATATATTTAGTCTGAAACTGTGTCACTCTCTAGTTTTGTATTATATGTTAATTAGAGTGATTATAAGACATAATTTGTGAGTAACAGTGATCGTAGGGTTTAGGAGTTTTATTGAAAAGATAAACTAGTCGTATGTTGTCTGTAAACAACACTGTCTGTTCCTGCTTCTACTGCGCTGTTTCTTCCCTTTTCCTTATTTTACTGTTAAACTCAAGAATCATAAGTATTATTGAGAGTACCCTCTATCGTTCTGAGGTAAGGCCAAAATATTCATCATCAATATTCATCACTTTCCTTGTTTGATATCTATTTAATTTGTTTAGTAGATGGAACCATTTCTTGTCTAAGTAATTGCATGACTCAGGTTTTTTATTTATTTTTTTTTACAAGTTTGTTATCCTGGTGTTTTCTCAGAAAACAATAATAGTAGACAACATAGTATGAACTCAAATTAATCAGGCTTGACACCTTTAATATGTTATTATAGATAATAATCTACTTGCTGTACATGTTTCGAGCCTAATAATACGGCTCATCTTCAGCAGCATTTTTTTATGTAAAATTTTCACATCGAGAGATGATTGTCGACTATATACAGGAACCACATATATACACAAACACAGAACATTTTAGCATGCTATTTTTATTTACACGTGTTTTCGTTAGCGTACGCTCGTTTAGATAATACCCGACCGGACGACATTTGTAGGCCTAATAAGGAACACAAACACGGAAGGGGGAGAGTGACGTCACGGTATCAGCTGACTGGTGGTTGTCATTTGTGACACAAATAGGTAATTTTCTCAAAGATTTAAGGAACATAATGCCTCCAAACAGAATAAACCTACGTCGATTGTTGCACAACATCTTAAGGATAATATAGGTACTGTATTACGATGTAGATAACAAAACTAGAAATGACAACCACCTGTTAGCTGATACTGTGACGTCACTCTCCCCCTCCCGTGTTTGTGTTCCTCAGTAGGCCTACAAATGTCGTCCGGTCGGGTATTATCTAAACGAGCGTACGCTACAAAAACACTTGTAAATAAAAATAGCATGCTAAAATGTTCTGTGTTTGTGTATATATGTGGTTCCTGTATATAGTCGACAATCATCTCTCGATGTGAAAATTTTACATAAAAAAATGCTGCTGAAGATGAGCCGTATTAGGCTCGAAACATGTACAGCATAATCAACTACAATTGACACCTACTGGCATACGTGATACGTAAGTAGATTATTATCTATAATAACATAGTATGAACGTTTTGTACTCAACCTATCTGCCTCTAAAACCTTTATCTTTGCCGGTATTTGTTTTATAGCAAATACAGCTAGAGCAAAATCCTTAATTTTACAGGTTGCTATGATGGACTGAGATTTTGTACAGTTTCTGGAAATTGTAATATCTTTTGTGATCCCACATAAATCAAGAAAGTCTTCTGTAAAATCAGAACTTTTGATCACACACCTTCGTAAGGCTTTCTGCCATTGGAGAAATAGACGTTCTGCTCAGTTTTAGTCAACACCAATTTGGCCAGGTCAAACTCTACTTGAAAATATTTGGTGTGCGGTGTCTGGGCAGCCTTTTTTAACCTTGAATTTGCCCGTCCACATAGACTAAAGATCTGTACGTGGAACGTATCCAGCAAAGCAAGGGGTGAGCCGGTTCAGTACAAAGGTGAACTGTACTGATAAAATGTTTGCGGCAGTAAGGGCCGGACTACTCGAGCGTATGAAACGCCGCCGACCGTCTGCTTTTTTTGCAGAGCCAATAGCTTTATATGATGTGGACTACATGAGCGTTTTGTCTGCCTGGTGAGGACGCGTAATTCAGGCGTTCGGCAGATCTAACGCATCTGGATGCGTAAAATACGCGGGCAGATCGTCGGCGCACCGGACTACACGTAGCGGCAACTAGCATTTCTCCTGCGCGTTAATTGATACCATCGATATCGATGGTTGATACATCCCTCCCATCACTTTGGCAAGTCCTATTCTGCACTACTTGTTGTAATTGGATTAGTTTTTTGATTGTTTTTTGTAACCTCTTGATCAGCATTATACGTGTTATTAAATTTACGGAAAGTAGCCTAAATAAAAGAAACGTCTTATAACACTTAAAATGGTTTTTTGTGTCTCAATATTTGTATCTGTTTTGCTGAAAAAAAATTTCTGAGTACATTCTATGGAAACATTACTTGAAACTGCCCTGTTACTAAACAACTTGATAATGTTGGGTGTGACTACCAACGCCTCTTTGCACGACGTTTCTTCTTAACAGCCTGCAACAATATATCATACCAGCTACACATCCGACTTGTACAGTATCGTTTCCATATTGGAACGGTCCAAATGCAATGAATACACAAACTATAGTTACCAAACTACATAGTTACAAACTATATAGTTTGTGTATTCATTGCCAAATGTCAGTCACATTGGGCGAGGACAGTCGGCGGCGTTCTATACGCTCGTGTAGTCAATGTTCTCGCGTTCAATACGCTGCTGATTGTCGGCTTCGTGTAGTCCTAGACATTTTTGCGCGTACTATCGGCGGCGTTTCATACGCTCGTGTAGTCCGGCCCTAACCAGGATCCGATACCATTACATCGCTGCCTTGGGTCCGAAGACTGTGACGCTACCATCTGAGCCACCGGCTCACCATGATGTTGGTTGTTGTAGGTGGTCGTGATGGACTAAAGGAGTTGACTAGTCTGCACCTGCCTGGAGAGAGGTACAGTCCAGTGTGCAGGGCTAGTGTCGGCACTACTCATTGCACTCCATATATAGTGTTGGTTGTTGTAGGTGGTTGAGATGGACTAAAGGAGCTGACTAGTCTGCACCTGCCAGAGAGAGGTACAGTCCAGTGTGCAGGGCTAGTGTCGGCACTACTCATTGCACTCCATATATAGTGTTGGTTGTTGTAGGTGGTTGTGATGGACTAAAGGAGTTGACTAGTCTGCACCTGCCTGGAGAGAGGTACAGTCCAGTGTGCAGGGCTAGTGCCGGCACTACTCATTGCACTCCGTATATAGTGTTGGTTGTTGTAGGTGGTTGTGATGGACTAAAGGAGCTGACTAGTCTGCACCTGCCTGGAGAGAGGTACAGTCCAGTGTGCAGGGCTAGTGTCGGCACTACTCATTGCACTCCATATATAATGTTGGTTGTTTTAGGTGGTCGTGATGGACTAAAGGAGCTGACTAGTCTCCACCTGCCTGGAGAGAGGTACAGTCCAGTGCGCAGGGCTAGTGTTGGCAGCACTCATTGCACTACAGATACATCACTAAGAGAGCTGCAAATGGAACATCACCAGTTACAGCAGCAACAACAGGTTAGGGTTTAAAATAATTCAATGTTTTATTTTGAAAAAATAAAAATCTTTTTACGGTTTTCAAAATTTTAGGGACTGTAGTAATAACTTTTATGAAGGTTTTGGAATAATCTTTTCAGGGAGCACAATTCTCTCTTAAGCTGGTTGTATTAGCTATAATAGTTATTTAAATATTTTGTGTGACAGTTGGATACATCATTATGTGTGATGTGGAAATTTTAAAGGGGTCCTCGTGTTGGGAATTTTTGATTTTGATTTATATACAAATTTGAATTTCTTATTAAATTTCAAATCACTTGGTGTAAGTCCCATGCATCTATGATTTCTTTTTGTTAAATTTATAGGACTTTGAAATTTTGTTATAGAAAAGAGTCATTTTGTAAAAAACTATTTTGAAAATTTCAAACATGCATAAAAACAGTTTTTGTTCTTATTTAAGAAAAGATTTTGTTATCAAAAGAAAGCTTATAATGTCCTCTTTGAAGGTAATACCAATTTTTGTCTTAAATCACTGTAGTTTTCATTTAAATATTTGTTTTATCAAACCATGTCGTAAAAATCACATTTCTGAAAAGGGACCCCTTGTCACCCCATGTTATTTCTCCATATCATAAACAGGGTACCTCTTGTCAGGACCGCAACATTTGTGAGATTTTGTTCCCCGTAAACTGAACTTTGTTGTAGTTCTCTAAATTTCCACTAGAATGCAGGACAATTCTTTTTTGGGCTAAAGTATGTGAATATTAGAAATGGGACCTCTTGTTGTTATGGCAAAATAACGTTGAGCTACAAGAGGTGGAGGTCGTGCGGAACGAGGTGAAGCTTGGACGGTATTAGGGGGGAGTGGCGAGGACAGAGGCGCGGCATGGGAAGTGTTGCTATGGAAGGCGCTGGTGTAGTTTCACTTCCCATCACATCACAGCTGCTCGACACCACTGAACTCTCCATCGCTGCTATCGTCGGTAGATGGATCGTCAGTTAACTCGTCAGCATCCATTTCGTGCTCCATATATTTTCTTTTGTATTCCCACTTATGCTCACATTAGTGATGGGTCGGTGCTTAACGTCAAATGTCGGTTCCACCGGTTGACTGGATCAAATAAATGATTTATTTTGACTCAACTAAATTAATTCACTACCTTCAAACCCTCCTTTCCTTATCTGATGTTGATTATTAGTAACATTAATAATAGCATATACAAATAGAACAAATATAGACCGTCAGCTTTGCTGCGATTAGCATAAATTCTGGCGTCCACCGCTAGGTTTGCCGTGTAGTTACGTCGCACACCGCTGCAGCGTCTGCTGGTCGCATACAGCTCCTGCCCTCCTCACCTGCAGCAGTGTGTGCCGTAACTACACGGCACTCCTAGCGGTGAGCGCTATTGATACGTACTTGTCCAAGGCATTCTTTCTCTTGATTACTTATAAGAATAAACTTTTAAATTAATGAGAAACAAATTATATTAAAGAAAGGAATTCACACTTTTTATTTTGATCACACAAACATAAACATGAACACAGCTTAATATAAAAAGCAAAACATATGATCTTGAGACAATGTACATTTAAACAGTACATAAGCAAAATTGTCAATGTTCCAATACTCCCTTCACAATTTTGAAACTAAATGTCACAAAGTCCAATGTTTACTTTAAGCTGTGTAAACCTTACTCGATTGAGAGGTTTAGTAAGGATTTTGGCAAGTTGATATGTTGTAGTTGTAGATACATGTTCAACATCAACAAGTCCTTCCAAGAAATTTTCTCTGACGAAGTAATACTTAACTTCCCAGGACACGAGCTCCTTCCTCACGAGCAGCCTTCCAGTCAGATGCATCATCTAACACCATTGCTTCCTTTTAAGACCTTGGAAACATCTGTGTCTCTGATTGAACCAGCATCAGATCAAAATTTCCACTGCTCATCCAACTTGGTACATTTTTCACTCGTTTTCCTTGTCGCAACACGTCTTTTGTGGTTTCATTTTTAGACAATACCACACACTCGTCTTGCTCACCTCCCTCCAAAACAGTAGGAGGTGCCGCTTTGTCAGTTTCCACTTCTGTTGTTTTTGAAGTGATGTCAAAATGAACTTCATCGCTTGAAGATGGCTCATTATCAGGAGCAGTACTTCCTTGGGATATCTCAGATTGAAATATAACATCATGGCTAATAACAGTTTGCCGTTTGCTTGGTACATACACTCTGTATCCATCTCTCAAACCATGATACCCAACAAAGATTTCGTCAATGCTTTTAGCATCCAACTTTTTCCTCTTTTGCTTCGGCTGATGTACAAAGCAGTTAGTTCCAAATACTCTGAGGTGTTGCAGACCTGGAACACTCTTACCCGACCACAATTGCAGTGGTGATTTGCCATCTACAGGACTTGGTCCTGTAACTTTAAGGAGGTAAACTGCAGTATACAAGCCTCACCCCAAAGAAACTTCGGCAAGCCTTTCCTCTGAAGCATAGAACGAGCAGACTCCACAATCGTTCGATTATCCCTCTCAACAGTACCATTCTGTTCAGGGCAGTAGGGAGAAGTTGTACGTATCTTAATACCATACTCCTGAATGATTCTCGTAGTTTCCTTTGATAGGAATTCAGACCCGTTATCAAACAACATTTCTTTTATGATCTTTCCACCTTGTTTTGCTTCTGCAAGAAAGATGCGCATACAATCAGCTACTTCACTTTTATTCTTTATGAAAAATACTTGGTGATACTTACTGTAGTAGTCTTTAAACAATACAAAATAGCGGTTACCTCCAAGAGAAGTGACCTCCATAGGTCCACAGACATCTGTACTGATCAGTTCACCAACCACCTCAGGACAAGTTGGACGAGAATGAAATGGACCACGATGAGATTTACCAAGAACACATCCATTACACAGACCCATGTCTCCAGTCACATTAATTCCATTCATCTTCAAAACTTGTTTAACATGGCGTTGATTCTGATGACCTAGCCGTTCGTGCCATAGCTGTAAAGAATCTTTCTCACATGCAAGTTGTACAGTGAGTTGTATAGGACAAATAGCACGCATGTTAAGAAAATATAAATCCCCATGCAAACGTCCAGTCAATGTAACAATACCATTTAGGGTAAATTTACATCCAAGATTGTCAGCAGAAAACACATGGTTCTTCTTCGCTGCCTTGCTGACTGACAACAGATGAGCTCTAGAATTAGGTACATACAACACGTTTTCTACAGTCGTTTGAATTAGCTCCTTACCAACTTTAGTTTCAACAACAATGATCCCGTTATCGTAGTTTTGTACCGTTGTTGTAGTGTTATGCCAGATCCCTCGGCATAACACTTTTTATCAGAAGCATTATCACTGAAGCCAGACATAAGTTGTGGTTCTGAAAATTGTGAATACTCTGTAAAATAGTCTTTACACCACGTTACATGATGAGTAGCACCACAATCCGCAATCCAAACGTCCCGATTTGCAAAAGTTAACTCATTCCTGCTCATAAAACTATGCTTTGCAGACACATCCTTCTTGTTATCAGATGTAGATACCGTAGACTTCTTTTTAAGTGGACAATACTTAAGTCCAATTACTTGCACCCAAAAGTTTCTCTATACATATCTTTTCATTTGAATTTTCCATAATGTCTAACCAATTTTATACTTGTTCCAAGAAAAAAGTCAACTCAACAGTTACAATGGCAAAACAATGAAGAAAAATATTTTAGAGCTTCTTTAACCCTTTGAGTGCCAACGTCCGGGGAACCGGACGTTTTTAAAACGAGCCAAAAGTGCCAACGTCCGGCCGACCGGACGTTTTTAGAACGAGCCAAAAGTGCCAACGTCCGGCTGACCGGACGTTTCGTAATGATCGAACAGCTGTCATAACAACCGAATAAATACTCGGATTCTTTTAACCCATATATTAACATTGAGTCGAAAGTTGCTAGATGCGATACATCGATTTTCGTTGGTCGAAATATCGAAAATTCGATTTTTACGAAATTTTAACCTAAAAATCGCCAGATCGCGCTCGGCATTTTTAGCGCGACCTTCGGGAAAAATCATCGGCATTTTTTGAGCGTTACTTTTATTTCTCGCCTGGCACTCTAAGGGTTAAAAGTTATTTAAAAAAAATACCTTATTTGTAGAATAGCCCATAACCTATTGATACGTACTTGTCCAAGGCATTCTTTCTCTTGATTACTTATAAGAATAAACTTTTAAATTAATGAGAAACAAATTATATTAAAGAAAGGAATTCACACTTTATATTTTGATCACACAAACATAAACATGAACACAGCTTAATATAAAAAGTAAAACATATGATCTTGAGACAATGTACATTTAAACAGTACATAAGCAAAATTGTCAATGTTCCAATAAGCGCCTGAACCTCCCTTTGTCAGTCTATATTTATTCTATTTGTCTATGATAATAGTTACTAGTCACAAGATTATTTTATTTTATTCATAGAGTGTTTTATTTGACTTGTTTTGTACAAACTATGGAAATACAGAAGTAACCTTATAAGCACTGATTGTACGACTCAAACCTCAAACTCAGTCAAGTTCAATCTAACTGTTTGACTCAGAACAGTCCAGTCAGTGGCTGAATTAATATGTTTATGCCCCAATGGATAAATGTTGGGGTACTCATGAATTTGAAAAATCAAATTGCATTCGATCTGTAACCACCGTGACAAATGGCAACATTAGGTATTGCAAAAGACTACTACCTATTTCAATTTTCAAGTTAACAGGTAAAATGTATTTATTGATGGATGAGACTACATGTCTACATGACAAAGAGCCAAGCCTTCATTTATCAAACCAAAAAGGGCTTTTATTTGTTATTATTTGTATGTTCGGTGGTTCGTACTTAATTTTGTTTTTGTCTTTCTCTTCTCGAATGAGGTGAGAAAGTTTCAATGTAGTTAGTTTTAGCGTTGTCTGTCGTCTGTATAGTGTGTTCAAAATTGAAGAATAGGCCTTAGTTTTTGTCGAATTT